CTATATATCTCCATGATTACAGGGGGGGGTGGGGGGTGGAAAACAGCTTGTCTCGACAGCTTGCAGATGTAGACATATGGCGCCAAAGTAATAAATCTTGAGGGAGATAATGGCCCCCTGCCGTGAAGTAAACCGACACCCATCCGTTTTGAGGAGAGACGGATTCAGGGTCTTTTCGGTCTAAAAACGACTCTTTTATTAGTACTAAAACAGAGTCGGGCCGGCGCCCGTTTTTGGGGTCGTGCGGGTCGTTTTCAGACTCTAAAACAGCGTCGCTTGTTCTATGCGGGTAGTGCGTATCAGTACGGATAAATATTTCTAATAATTATAAAAACAAAACTTGTTGGTCGATTTAATGTACAATTGTCATTTATAAATATGACACGTTATATATATTAATACAAAATAATCTGAGATAAGCAAAAATGCAAGCTCTGTTAAACATGGATACTCTATAAATGGATATCTCTTGGCATCTTTTCATGCATACTTTAAGTTAAGTTGGGTTGAAGTGCAATGAGTGCATCAATTCTTTGAAAACCCGATAAAAATAAGGCTGTTTCTTGTTAGGATGATTATTACAATTTTTTTTTGTGTACTTTAAGTTTAGTAGAAATCATAACTATGTACACCATTTAATTGTGGCTCTATCTGCGAGCATCTTCTCTTTGTACAATATAAAACTAAAACTAACAAAATTTTTTGTAGATTTCATAAGATTTTTCGTGAATTTTCAAACTTTCATAAAAATAATTTTTTTTGAAGTTATAAACATCCATAAACCTTCCCTAGAGTCATGTGAGGTACCACACACAATTTGGGCCCGATCAGTTCAAACGTTTTGACGTTTATTGGATACAAACAGACAGAAAAAAGACTTTCTTAAAAAAACGATAGGGCTAAAAAAAAACTATAAAGAAAACAGTTATTTAGAAAACATTTAAAAGACTTTTTTCGCATTGAGTAAAATGCGTTGCGACAGTTTAAAGATAAGGAGTGATGACAGTTTTGTAAATAGATCAGGAGTCAGGACTTGAAGGGGTTTAATAGGTCCTAGGTAGGGTTTAAAGGGAGTGATCGCTAAAAATGAAAGGGGGTATAGGCTTAATGCGATAAAAAAGCGCGTTTTTTCTCGCTTCTTCTTTTTTTTCTCTGTTTTGTGTCTATAAGGAGAAAATTGTTAAAGACGTCTCATACCGAATAACATGGCGTCCATACAAATTGAGAAAATTGCAACATACGACTTAGACCGTAAAAAAATCAATTTAATTTAAAACAAATCATTCAGATATTACAACCTATAGTCATCGATTATCTTTCGCCACATTTATATATAGTTGATTTTTCATAATATGTTTTAATTGTTATGATCTGAGAGTTACTTATAAAAACGTTTATTCCTGTTTCGAGGATTTTTGGTAATGAAGACGACATTTTCATATTTTCCAGGAATGTTCGAAAACAAGTTGTAAGCTAAATATTATTTTAAAAAAACTAAATCAAAACTAGTATGAAATATTAAATTTATACAAATGTGGCGAAAGATAATCGATGACTATAAATTGTAATATCTGAATGATTTGTTTGATATTAATTTGATTTTTTTACGGTCTAAGTCGTATGTTCCAACTTCCTCAATTTGTATGGGCGCTACGCTCTTCGGTATGAGACGTCTTTATCAATTTTCTCCTTATAGACGCAACAGATAGAAGTAAGATTAGTAGCGATCAAAAGCGCTTTTTTATCGCATTAAGCCTATACCCCCTTTCATTTTTCGCGAACACTCCCTTTAAGGAAGAAGTACTACTATAATTAAATAGGTAAGGTGTTGAAAGCGTGAGATAATTGAGCAAACAATGATTTTTAGTCTCAAAATATTAGAATTTCATTAAAATTGTTGTTTTCTGTGCTGTTTAGTGTGTTTTAATTGTTTATTCGTGAATGGAATTTAAAACATTTAATGTTTTATTTTCAAGGTTTATTTGTTGTGTGTTCTTAAGTATAAGGAAAATGTCTGGTAAACATTAAAAAATTAAAAAATTGAAAAATTAAAAATTATTTTTTCAAGAAAGGAATTGAACACTTTCTATATCTTTAGAACATTATAGTCTAAACCTTTTAATATTTCAAATTTAGATTATTTAATTCAACATAATTCATAGCTTGACATATTAAAGATCTACGACATGAGGTTACAAAGATATGATATATGATTAGAAAATTAGAGTTTGTTATTGACAGAGACATTGAGTCTTGAAACTTTTGTTTTCTAATCCCTATATCATTGCAACCCAATGTCGTAGACCAGATATATTCAAACTATGGATTCTGATAGATAAAACAATCAAGTTTGAAATATCAAAGGCTAACACAATCAGGTTGTAAAGATATAGAGATTAGAAAATTTGAGTTTGCGGCACCGACTCAAATCCTTTGATTTTATTTCTTTATGCACGATTTTAATCTTTGTTCTACATAAAAATCTTGAAAATGTATCTCCTGAAACCCTTTGTTGTTTTCTAAAAAACTTAAAGGTCTAAGATTGATTGAGAATTTGAGTTTCTCCATTTCACGGACAAACTTTTTGTCTGTTAAGAATTTAGGAGAGAAACGCAGGGTTGGGTTTCAACGCCTTTCACCTTTGTAGTTGGCTGTTAACAGTATTCTTATTGGAATGTTAGAACATTTTATCAAAAAGCCGAGAGCTTTTCAAAATATTTTATTAGAATTTAGTAAGATAATAATCAGGATATCGTACATATGTTTAGCTAGTTGGCCGGACCTAACACAAAAAAAATGTTCTCATATTCTAACAAAATCTTCTAAGTGTGATCAGATATTTTTTCTTACAATGTGCGAAAGTTTTTCAGTTTTCATGTCTATGTTTTTTCCTATTCTATATGCATCCACGATTATACGTATATTCAGTGATTTAAAGGGACTGTTATGGAAAAATAAAAAGGGGTATAGGCTGAAAGTTAATCACTTTAGCTATTGATTAGAGCTAAAGTGATTAACTTTCAGCCTATACCCCCTTTCATTTTTCCATAACAGTCCCTTTAAGGAATGTGAATCGATAACAACATTGTTATCAACGTGATTAAGCCCGACATTTTTTTTGGCGAGCATGGAAAGAACATATTTTGAAGTAATTAACTAGGACAGGTTCAATAAAATTATATTTATAGAGACATCTGATATACTGCAGATCATAGGACCAAACATAATATCTAAAATTTCGCAAACAGTCACTTTTAAAGCTAAATTATTTTGCGGAAATGGGAGTTATTTTGGTCACAATTTCAGTTATTAACTTGCCAACTTTCAACCCCCGCCCTTACCGCAAGTTGTAGCAAATGCAATTCATTTTCTGCACACATTTGCGTTATGCAAATTTACAATTTGCGTGGCTATTAAACGGTGGTGTTATATAGAATGTGCTTTGAATTAAAATTTGTTACTGCGGGTAAAATTCAAAACAAGTTTAGACAGCTTTTTAATATGAATTAGATGTATTATAGTTTGACAGTTTTGCTAAATCAGTATGTTTTCAACATTTAACAAGAATTATTGTCATGCCTTTAATTAAGAAACAATTGATTGTCTTTCTCTTACCGTATTTCTTCCAGCAGTCCTCCTTCACTAAATAGAGTTTTAGGTTTGTCCTCATTTAGTACAGCATCGATATCGTCTAGGTCGTAACCTCCTCCTTCTCCTCCTTCTCCTTCTTCTCCACCTTCTCCTCCTTCTCCACCTTCACCTCTGCCATCCTCCCCTTCTTCTTCTTTTTCACCTCCTTCTCTCCCTTCTCCTTTGTCACTTGTCACTTTATTCATCAAATTTATATCACTTGATTGCGTATCAACTTTTGTATCACTTTTGTCAAGGATTTTTCCCCCTTCACTGTTTGGAATTCCCCCTCCTTTGCTGGAATTCCCCTTGCCAATAAAAGGAGTCAGGGAACAATGATACGCCTCATCATCACTTTTAAACAAACAAATTAATTTTAAAAAGGAAAAATATAAGCTTGAATGTTTACGTTAGTTCACGTGACCATACATTTGAAGAATTGCCAGTCAGATTCACAACGGTACCCTTAACCATTTTCACCGTAGAAATGATTGAATCAATCTTAGTTTTCTTTCTCAAAATGATAGTTTTCTAATTGTGGATTCTCTAAGTGAAAGTGACAAGCTGACTTTTTCAGCTGAGACCATGAAATAAATTTTATTAATCGATAAAGGAACTGAGTCTTTGCCACAAACTCAAATTTTTTAATCACAATATCTTTTCAAACTAATGATGTAAACCTTTGCTGTTTCAAACTTAGACTATTTAACCCAACGGTTTAGATTGAAATATCAAAGATCTATGCCATCGGGTTGCAAAGACATAAGGATAAAAAAATTAGATTTTTGGCAAAACTTCAGTTCCTTTACAATACAAAAACAATTATATCTTTCTCATATTTAATTTGATTTTACGGCTGATGTAGGATAGCGTTGTGAATCTCTCATGTCACGTTCAAAGTTGAGGTTCGCTAAAAAGTCACCTTTAAAGTATTTTGACATAATTTTTGAACTTTCGTAGTTTTTCCCATTAAAAGTATTTGGTTAAAAGCAGTGCTTAGAATCCATTTAATTTTGATGCGGATCCGGATCCGAATCCTGGATCCGCACTGGAAAAAAATGGATCCGGGATCCTGATCCAGGTCATTTCTTTAAGATTTACTGAATTTTTTAACAAAAAATAATTTTCAAATTTTTGTTTTATTTTTTTTCGCATATTTTTGTCCTAAAACTCGATGAACCATTCAGAAATGAGGAAATTATTATAATCTCTCTTTTTTTTAAAGTTGATATTTTCGTTTTAGGAGTAAAAAAGTTTTTTTTGCAGTTTTTGGTTGATATTTTACCTCTTGGATCCGGATCCATGGATCCGCATATTTTTGGTTAAAGGATAAAAAAGTTTTGTTTTTTCCTAAATTGTTCAAAATCTTGTGCTTCGTCCTCACTTGGGGGCCAGGAATCAACCTCCTCATCCTCTCCTTCCTGAACACATTTTTATACAATCTTTTATATAATAAAACTACGGCATTACGCGCTTCTCGCCCACCTTTCAAACTTACATTTTTAGCTTTTTAACTGTTGCTCTTGAATTTGCCATTTTTCAAATTTTCGACTTTTGTCAATCAATTTCCAATTTTATTGAGACACCCTGTATGTGGGGAGGGGATGGGTAGGTGAGTGGCCGGGGATGATTAAAGTTTAAACCTGTAAGATAACTTGACACTAAGTGCGTGTTCCAAACAGTGTCAAAAATAATGAGATTTAAAGTCGGCGTTGAATTGAAAATGCTTAAATAGGAGAGCCACGTCAAACTAAAGTTAATTGCACGTTAGATTGAAATCTTATATGTTTTCTATCATAACTCATCTTGGTTAAATTTGCTTTTGGTTGTGCAAAAAAATGAAAACTAAAGGAGCCAAGAGGTCACATAATCGTACCAGTAATGTCGCATAATTTGAATTTGAATTTGGGAATTTGGGAAACTTTAAGGTGGCTGTGGACGTGAATGACCCTTTATATAAAATATGTGCAACGGTAACATCTAAGCAGTTATTTGAGAAACCACAATTGAAATTAAAAATTTTAAGTTAAACAAAAAAGGATATCTCATTTAAGAGTACCGTTGTAAATAAGATATGTAACTTTACAAATTAAGGGTTACTTAAAATCAAGACAGCAGTCACTTTAAAGATAAATATTTATCCCTGAAATAGAGATTAGAGAACTAGATAACTTAATCTATGTAATATTAGGAGTCCAATATTAGATACTTCAGAGGATTAGAAATCTTTAAGTATGCTTAAGTGGGGGTCAGACGAATTGTGTATACTGTATACACATTATAGAATATAACATTTTATATCTTTATCTTGCCTTTTCCTTCTTCTAACATTGTACTTTTATACTTCTTCAATTGCTTTCATGTGCGTCTCTTTTTTCCCAATTTTATACTTCTTCCTTTGCTTTCATATGCTTATCTTTTTTCTACCATTGCACTCATACTTCTTCCTTTACTTTTGTACTTCTCTTTTTTCTACCATTGCACTCATACTTCTTCCTTTACTTTAGTACTTCTCTTTTTTTACCATTGCACTCATACTTTTCTTCCTTTACTTTTGCACTTCTCTTTTTTCTACCATTGCATTCATACTTCTTCTATTACTTTTGTACTTCTCTTTTTCTACCATTGCACTCAAACTACTTCCTTTACTTTTGTACTTCTCTTTTTTCTCTACCAGTGCACTTTCATACGTCTTCCTTTGATTAAATACTTCTCCCTTTTCTTCCAAACTTCTCCCTTTTTATCCACATTCTACCTTTTCATCCAAACTTCTCCCTTTTCATCGATACTTTTCCCTTTTCATCCACTTCTATCTTTTCATCCATACTCCAATGTCATCAAAACTTCTCCCTTTCCATCCATACTTCCCCATACTTACACTTTTATATAAGATCCATATCCCAAAAAATCATGTTTGAGTGACAGTTTAACGATAAAAAAGCCATCCATGAAATATCAAAACAGAGAAATTAAACTTTACCTCCATTTCAAGTCTTAGTGTTCTTTCTTCTAGGGGCCAAGATCCTCTGTCCCCCTCCTTCAGGGGCGTTTTTGGACTTTCTGCAGTTAGGGGCCACTCATGCTCCCATGGGGGTTCTATCCTCTGAGAGGTTTCAGGGGTGTTCTGATCCACCTCCAGGATTTCACTTGACGCACTGACATCAATTTTTTTATTACAAATAATTTTTTTCGAATTTTGAATGTTGAAGGATCTGAGTTTTTGCCACAAAGTTAAATTTTCTAATCTTTTTGCAACCTGATGATGTAAACTTTTGCTGTTTTAACTTAAAATATTTTATCTAGGTAACAGAAGTCTTAGTTTAAAATATTAAATTTCTACGACATTGGGTTGCAAAGATATAGGATTTAGAAAATCAGAGTTAGTGGCAAAAACTCAGTTTGTTTAATCAAACGCTTTGTAATTGTTTTAAAAATTTTGTTCCTTGCTGAATTAGACCTTAAAGTCCCCTGCATTCGTCAAATCTGAAATGTAAAAAATATTAAATTTGGCGCCAAATTATTTAAATATTAATGGCACCAATTTCTGGATTAGATGCACTGTTAAAAGAACCACTCAAGTCGGCGTCACTTGTCTGGACTGGATTAAATTTTCTTATCGAGGAGAAAAAGGCTTGATCCATCTTTTAGATATTGTAAATAAAATGCAAATAAAATCAGAGATGGGGGGGGATGGGTTTAAGAAAAAAACATATTTTATCTAAAGACTGGATATATTTTGATAAGTTTATAACCAAACAATTTCGGGAAAATACTTTTATCCAATTTTTTTATTTACTAAAAAAATAATCTTTTAAAGTAATTTGCAATTTGATCATAATATCTATGTTTCATAAATCAGCGGCGCGTGGGTTTATTTTCAAAAATCACGTGTTAACAATATTTGAATTTTCAACAATTTAAAATTATGAAATGGTACCGATTAAGTTGAACAGAATTCTAAAGAATTGTTTGTTTTTTTAAATTATCATAGATTTTTTTACATAATTCGTAGATTTGTTGTTAATAAAAAACCTAGATTCCCAAGAATAATTTCAATTGAACAGTATTTATACTTATTCAATAATATACAGGGTTACCCTCAAAGGATGAGACTTCAGAGACAACTGTACGAAATGTATACTGTCTGTTTCCTTATACTCATGATCCCAAGCAGCTGTTGAATGGTTTTTCTTTATTTTCTTTTGTAAAAGATTAAATTTAAAGGGACCGTTCACTTTTTTGGGTAATTTCAGGGTAAACTAAACAGCCTAAGCGCTATTCATCGGTAATAGTCTTACTTTTCAAAGACAACTGTGGCCGGAGAAAAAGCCGATTTTTCGTTCAGAATTTGAGCGCAAAGGAACGGTTCCTTTCTATACACACTATTTGATGTTTTTTTTCAGTAACAACAGTCCAATAAAATTTAAATTTATCATATTTTAATGTCATTATGTGTTCGTTGTTACATACTAAAATATGAAAACTTTTGACATTTGAGTTAGCAAGAAATTTACGTTTTTCGTTTTAAAACACGTAAACTGTGTATACAAAGACGACGTCCTCTACGGCAATCAATTANTGATTCACAACATACTGAAAAAAACATCAAATAGTGTGTATAGAAAGGAACCGTTCCTTTGCGCTCAAATTCTGAACGAAAAATCGGCTTTTTCTCCGGCCACAGTTGTCTTTGAAAAGTAAGACTATTACCGATGAATAGCGCTTAGGCTGTTTAGTTTACCCTGAAATTACCCAAAAAAGTGAACGGTCCCTTTAAGAAAAAAATCTTGATTTAATTTTCTTTAATTGCACGGAACAAAAAAATAAACCAATCATTTTGAAAAATTGTGAAACAGATAAGCTTGAGAAGAGTTCGATGATATATTTCTAAGATTTTTTCAACTATAGAAAAAATTCAAAAATATTTACAAGAATTGTTTTCGTGATTTCTATTATGCTCTTTTTCCTTTGAACTCAAAGAGGATCTATTTACCAAAATCATCCAAATCTAAAATTTTAAAAATCAAGCAACACTATCAATATCTGTGCCAAATCTTTTCAAGGCAGTTTAAAACTGTGCAAAAATCCAAGTTTCCTTGAAATTGGATTCAGTTTATATATTTAGGTCAATTTGCAGTTATTAAACACTAAGCAGACACTCAGACGACTGGAGTCAAGATATTTTTAGAAAGGAAAAAATTGAGAATACACAAATAACAACATTAATTGATGACAGTCAATCCATGCAGATATGATTATCAGCTATGCATTCAAAGATACACTTCAATGTTACTAAATTACAAAAACATATTTGATGTTTTATTCTTTTATCTATAAAAAATAATTTAGAACTTCATCTGAAATATTTTCCATTCATTTTTAATGTTGGATTAGGTTGAAATGTTAAAATTTGTATCAGGTATAATATGAGTGCTAGATATATTTTACACATGTTTTATGCGCTTTATAAACACGCGATATTGTAATTTAACTCAGAGACAGAAACTTTAGACAGAGTATGAGTGAATGAAACCCAGTATCGTAAACCCAGTTTCTTGAAAGGGTCCGACACTTTTTGAGTAAAGAAATAACATATGGTTTCTTTACATATAGGAAACTCGAAAATTTGCTGGATGGAGTAACTAAAACCAGTTTAGAGATTGTACTTTAAATATTGAGCAGAGTGGTAAATAATTCTAATTTACTGGATGGAATAATATTAAAACCAGTCTAGAGCTTGTACTTTAAATATTGAGCAGAGTGGTAAATATTTCTAATTTGCTGGATGGAATAATATTAAAACCAGTCTAGAACTTGTACTTTAAAGATTGAACAGAGTGGTAAATAATTCTAAACCCGCCCACTCTCAGAAAATAATATGCAATCAAATCAAATCAAATCATTTGTTGGGCCACAACACTCATTTATAGAATACATTTAGAAATTAAAACATGTCTACAAAATAGTTTTTTTCACATGAAGCAGAAGAAGCATATTTTATTCCAAAAATGTGCAAGAATTGAGGCGGAGTGTAGCGGCGGAGGCGGTTGAAAGATGCTCTTTTGTATAAACTGAAAACTAGATGAGTTAAAAGGTCACAAAGTCGGACCAATATCTTCTTAAAATGTACATATTATAATATTTTTTAATGTGTTTTGGCGATCCGTGTTCGCTTTAAAACTGAGAAAGAAATATAAGTTTCAAACTTTAAAAATGAATAATGAATGCCAAAACAAAGTAATATATGAATATGAATATATATTATCTAATAGAATATAGTATAAAACTATATCTAATAGAATATAAAAGGGAAAACTGAAATTTAATGCGTCATGTAAAATTTACTTAACTAGGATTTACTCGATCAACTTGCAACATTAGGATCAGCGTGAAAAGATTGCGGAAATTAAATCGGCATAAAAATTTGGCAAAAAATAGATTAGCGTGAAAAATTTGAGAAATTTGGATTGACGTGAAAGGTTTGTTGAAATTGGACTGGCGTGAAAAGATTGCGGAAATTTGATTGGCGCATGACAAATTTGCAAAAATTAAATTAGCGTGAAAACTTTGCGGAAAGTGCATCGGGGTTTATTTGCGGAATCTGAATAGCGCGCGCGAAAATTTTTACCAGGAATGGGATTATTGGATTATTGGATGCGCTAGAAAAAGTTTCCAAAAAATGTATTGTCAGATTTGCGGTGTATAGGATCGGCGTGATACTAAAAGAGTTTTGAACACTGGATTGGCGTGCAAAAGTGTGTCCTTTGAGCAAGGTCAAGAATGCCAGAAATGCTTCAGGCATTTAAATCTGTTTTATGGATTGTTAACTTTTGTTTGCTTTAATGTAAAAACAAGATTATTTCACCTAAACTTTTGGAACTTTATTTATTGTAAATCACAATTGTTTGTAAATTATTTTGTATACATATACACACATATAAAAAGTCTCATTAATTTTTTAAGACAGAGACGACTTTGAAGTGTCGCAACGTCTTGCTATGTTGCCACTCTAACTCACTTTTGCTTTTCTGTAGCCCTTTACATGTAAATTTTAGCACTGTAAAGCACTTGTTTAATAACTTTGGTTTTTAAGAAGTAATTGGCAAAATTCTCATCTATAGTGTTACCAATAAAACTGTAGTAAAGGAGAACAACATTAAACCAATCTATACATGAATTTGTTTAACAATTTGAAACACAAACTAATTTGGTCTGTGTACACTGCACAGTTTTACAGAACCCACTGTAGAATTAGCATGTGAATATATTAATAAATAATTTTAATTATCATTAAAGAAGCTTTCCCCCCCCCTTGTATAAAAAGTTATAAAATAAGCAATAATAATATTATTTCAACAATATGGTATTTCAGAAATCTAATAAACAATTCAGATACATTTTTCAAGTTATATAAGATTTTATTAGTTATTTAAGGTTATTATTAGTTTTTCCAAAAACCACTGCGCACATTTCCAGGAAAGAGTGAAAAGAAATGACACGAAAAGGATTTTCATAACATCGCGTTACACAATGCAAATTCTTTATCTAACATTTTGAAATTCGAATGGGTTTAAATACCGCTTCACAAAATTCCCCTGAGTCCTCTATTGGATTAATAATGAGGAAGATATTGCTGTTTTATAAATGCACAAGTTATTCTTATACTGCAGAACCCGCAATATCTTTGCAACATAATGGTGAAATGGTAAAATTATGAATTCTGCTTGATCGCTGAAAGATTTAAACGATTAGAAATTTATCCGAGAAGCGCGGTAAAATGTATGCGCCATTACTGGTGCGACTTTTTGACCTTGTATCGCCTTTGGTTTAGATTTCACGCCAACATATTGAAGCAAAGGAACTGAGATGTTGCCACAAACTCAAATGTTCTAATCCCTATATCTTTGTAACCTGTTGTGTAAACCTTTGATATTTCAAACTTAAATTCTAACAGAATTCATAGTTTGAAATATCTAAGTCTACATTGGGTTGATATATGATGATATACAGATGAGAAAGTCAGATTTTGTGTCAAAGACTCATTACTTTTAATTGGTTATCATTCAAGAAATATGAAACATTTTTGTTCTTCTCAATAGCTCTGTAACAACAGGAGTTAGGTTTGAAAACAAAAATGTTTTAATTTAACAGGAAATTTACTGTAGATTGGTGTGTAATTTACTTTAATTTAAGGTGAAATTTACTTTAATTTAACGTAAAAGTTACTTTAATTTAACCTGAAAGGAATTGAGTCTTTGCCACAAACTCTGATTTTCTAATCACTATATCTTTGGAACCAAATGTTGCAGACCTTATATATTTCAAGCTATTAATTCTGTTAGATCAAATAATCTGAGTTTGAAATATCAAAGGTTTACAACATCCAGTTCTAAAGATATTGAGGTTTAAATATTTGATTTTGTTCCAAAGACTCAATTCCTTTACTTTAATTTAACCTGAAATTTACTTTAATTTAACGTGAAATTTACTATAATTTGATGTGAAATTTACTTTAGTTTGACGTGAAATTTACTTTAGTTTGACGTGAAATTTACTTTAGTTTGACGTGAATTTACTTTGGTTTGATGTGAAATTTACTTTAGTATGACGTGAAATTTACTTTAATTTAACGTGATATGTACTTTAATTTGACGTGAATAAGTTCTTTTACTAAACCTGTGCTTGTGAAAATTAAAGACATCGCGTTCATTTAAGAAACATAAAAAAGACCCGAAACTTGTTGTAATACATATTCTAAAAATTTTAATTAGATCTATTGAGTACTGCGTAGGGTTTAATAAATTGATTTAATTAAAAAACACAGAATGTATAAAACAGAAATAAATTTTAGTTTTCCTTAAGAAAAAATCATAAAAAATTAGAGGAAAAATGACAGTAAAAAAATTTTAAACAACAAAATAGATGATTAAAAAATACAATTTTTTTTCTCTCTAAATTTAAAATTGACCTTTTAGATAATTTTTAATTCAAAGCAATGAACCGTCAAATAAACATAAGCAGAGGCCTTTATAAAGCCAAATCTTTTAATAGTATCTATACGCAACGCCTTCTAATATCTACATATAAGGCTTTGTTGTGGGGGGGGGGGGTTGCTTCGCGGCCTTGTTGTAGTTTTAATATCGAACAAATCTGATCCATTTTATGCAGGGGGATGATAGTTTCCCACCTCTGTACTCAGCTAGCTGTACTGTACACCTACAACTGTTTACTAATAATGATATACAATAGGCTAGACCAGAATCTCCTTATAATAAAAAATATATGCAGTACGCTCTCGGTATAGTTCCCGGCCTATACAATTAGTAAAGGATTAGCGTACATCATCACTCTATACACTATAACCTCGTTGATTATATGCAAATTTTACACAGCAAACTTTTATAAAATTTCTGAAATAGGACTGAAGGCGAAATTTATTTTCATTTAAGATGATTAAACCGTTGGCTTATCAAGGGTGGAACAGAAATCATTCTTTTTCTCCCGGAAAATTGATTAATTTCAATAATGGTTTCTTTATGAAAGGATCTTGCGAAATAATGCCACATAGACAATGTACGAAATTGCCAGAATTCAAAACGCGTCAAAAATAAAACCATACTTTTTTAAATGAAAAGCCACTTTAACAAACGCTTACAGGTCCTTAAATGCGTATTTTTTGTTCAACGTTTAATTGTCTTTACAACAGGTGAATAAAGTAGAATTTAATGCTCTATTAAATTCTGTTATTAAACATTTAGTTCAAAATATATCTCAAATAATATATAAATAGTCATAACTTTTGTTTATAATCTTAAGTTTCGTCTAATATACAGTCTATATTCTAAAAAAAGTGAATATTTCTGAACATCCTTCAAACTGATTCTAAGACATAAAACAACTTGTAGAAATAACCTGATATATTTTTCTAGTTTTTGCGTATTGCAAATTTGAAGGGTACTTTTAGATCAATAATGATATTGGTTAACAAGAGTTAAATTGGGAAATAAATCGAACAAGTTTTCCATCTATATATGATAAAACAAGACATACAAATATACATGTTGCGTAAAGTTGGCTAAACACCTGGACAGATAGGGCTGAATTTTTTTGTGGACACTCAAGGTTGGTCGGGGGGTGTTATAGGCTACAAAAATCGTTTTTTTTTCTACATTTTTTTTCTTCAAAATTTAAAATTAAAAAAAATTTAGAATTTGTTTTCCACGGTCAACTCCGGGCCCTTCAGCTAGTGTTACAAAATTCAATCGATCTTATACGAATACGTTACAGGAATTCAATTTAAAAAAATACTTTTTAATGAAAAAAAATTTAAATAATTTTTGAATCAAACTTAAAAAACAAAACACGTTACTAAGCTTATTTATAATTAAGAACAAGAACTTCCTTAAATCCCCGGACAAATTGTGGGCTGATTTAAAGTTAGAAGACAATGAAATTCTTAAACAAGTTCCAGCCCCCCTGGTGAGTTATGTTGACACAAAAAGTTGTATTTATTATAAATAGTCAAGGATAAAAATAATCATGTTTTTTATACAATAAAACAGATTAGAAATTACTATTGTAAATTCACGGCTTAAAAAGAACGTTAATAATCGATGACTTTCGTTTATAATCGATGACTTTAAGTTTTAATATGAATGATTTGTTTGTAATTAAATTAATTATTTTACGATACGAGTCGTATATTGCAACTTTCTAAATTTGTATGGACGCTACGTTCGTCATTATAAGTAGTTTTTAACAATTTTCTCCTATAGATGAAACAGATAGAAGTAAGATTAGTAAAGATCAAAAGCGCTTAGTATTCGCCGTAAACTATTTTTAATTATTATTTCCATTGATATCAAAGTTTCTAGGATTGAAACAGACAAATCGTTAACTTGATAATACAAATAAAAACTTTCTTTCACAAAGGAATTGAGTCTTTTGTCACAAACTCAAATGTTCTTATCCCTAAAACTTTGCAACCTGATGGCAAAAAACCCTTAATATTTCAAACTTTATTCCAAAAAATTTGTTCTCCTTTTGTTTATCTGTTTAACAAACACTTAAGATTACTTGATCAAACAGAATTTATAGTTTGAAATATCAAGGGTCTACGCCAATGGGCTGCATAGATATAGGGATTAGAAAATGAGAGTTTGTGGCAATGAATCAATGTCTTTTCTATAAAAGTCAGAAATCCACCAGTAATAACGGGGAAAAATCTGCGATTTGTTGTTAGTACTGATGCAACAATTATGTGACATGGAAATCAATATTTGAAATACATTTTGATTACCCGTGTTGAAATATTTATATGTGGACAAAATTGACAAATAAGAGATGAATCTCTTTCAATAAAAGTCAGCTAAAATTTAGTTTAAGCCTGCTTGCAACGATTTATTTAAATCTCTCTACACTTGAAACATTAACCCTATCCCGGCTTGGGCTATTTTTGTCCCCCCCCCCCTATAATTTGAGTTGAGATAGGGGAGGGAGTGTGATAAATGTCCTTTGTCTAACATTTCATAAAAAATAGACCTCTAACTTTAATGGTTAGGGTGCAAGGGAGGATTTTCAAAAAGTTCAAATGTACGTCGGAAAAATGTTTATAAATAATCATTTTTAATTTTGACAAATATTAACATGTGACAAATGTTATTACATCCATTTTTCAAGGGCTTTTGAAATATATAAATTTTAGCCCTGTAATTAATAAATACTAGGCTTTTAGGGCGGTTCGCGCCCATCTTCTATTTCAACTTTTAATTGTGGCTTTATCTCTGAGCATCTTCTCTTTGTACAGTATGAAACAAAAACAAAAATAGTTTGCGGATTTCATAATATTTTTCGCGCATTTTCAAAATTTTACAAAAATAAAAACTTTTCAACACAAATTTTTGAAATTTTGATCATTCATAAACTTTCCCTGGTGTCACGTGAGGTCCCACACAAAATTTGGGCCCAATCGGTTCAGCCGTTTTGACACCCAAACTAAATTTATATATAGAATTAATTTAGCATTTGATTTTTTTAAACACCGAAACGCCGTGTAGAAAGTTGATATACGGAGATGGTTTTAAATTTTTCAAATATTTCACTACAAACTCTTCAGGGGCATTTTAAAGGGACTGAAGGGTGGCGTTGTAATTTTAAGTTACCCTCCATTTTAAGAGAGTTTTTTCCGATTCACTTTTGTAGAGAAACCACAAATGAAAATAGTCAGTTTTCTAAAACAAAAGGTTTCTCAAAATAATTTTTTAATAATATATCTTTTTATGCTGATATAAACAAAAAGAGTTTCTTTTAAAATTTTATATCAAGTTTTTAAAAAAATCAATTTTGCATAAATTATCATTTTTAAAAACTTTTTTGTTTTCCTCTGCAGCTCAATACAATTTGTTTATAACATTCTAAAGGGGGGGGGGGAGGTTATGAAGGGGAATTTATTTTCTTAACAAAACATTCAACCTTGCCACCCTTTGCAGTATTATGTATGATACAAAAAGAAAGAAAGCCCGTGTCTAAGGTTCGGACAGAACAAAGAAGTAATTTTAAATAAAAAATATTTTGATATGACAGACCCAGGTGCAACTTTCAAAGGCAACGAAGCAGAAAAAAAATCCAGGAAGAAACGAGAGGGAGGAGGGGACCGGTGGCTGGGGTAGGGGGGGGGGGAGATTAGAAGGTGAAAAAAAGGAATGGATGGTCAAGGAAATGGATGAAGAAAAAAAAATTAAAAGATGAAGAAATGAATAATATGCTGAAGTACAGACCTTTAAAAACATTTGTATGTGTGGGACAACAATATAATAAATACAATAATAAATATAAATATATGTAAATATAAATATATAAATCATAAAAATGTTAGTAATGGACAGATTGACGTAGGACTTTATTATATATTGTATTCTACTTGAACGTATGTATAGTTCAATTAAGGGTTATTCATAATTTCCACTTTGTTTTTATCATTAGAAATATAAAAAAACTATTTTTTGAGAGGGTGATATAACTAACTCGGAAATTATGGGGGGGGGGGGGTTAAATGATTAGAAAATCTAATTTGTTTTGATATCTCAATTAGATGGTTTACAAAATAAACTTCTATAATTACTTTCCAACTATTTTAACACGTGGATGTTAATACATGCTATGAAAAATCAAGAAAAACATTTTTTAATAATGATGAAAACGTATTTAGATATTCTTGTTTAATTGTAATAAAGATTTAATTGATATATGAATATAATTAATATAATATATTAATATTAATTTAAGTATCATACCTTTTCAATTTCATAGAAATTCAAAAATATTAATTATTTTTCACTTAGTAATAAAATATGGGAAACGTTCACTTAATCTAAACTGTCCAAACTGAACATTGTACATTGAACAGTTTGTGATAAACTTTGTAATCCGCAAAATATCTAAGCTGTAATCCGCGAGATATGTTTGCTGTAATCCGCCAAATATAAACTGGAATAATCCTTGATCACCCGCTGTTTACAGTGTCAACTCAACTATAGCTGTGAAGACTGAAGAACTGACTAGTGACTGAATGTGAACCCATTAAGGCAGGCACAGCGTTGCATATCAGCTGCCTGGGATGGGGTGGAAATATAGTTTTCAAAATTTTTATATTTTTTCTCCAAAATTTTTACAGTTTCTGTTTTGATATATAAAATTACCAATTTATGTAGTTTTGGTTTAAAAATAAATCTACAAAAATATTTACCACCCCCGGCGTACTAAGTTCAATAAGTAGCATCGAGATACCATATGTATATGTAGAGTAAAAGAACCGCATGAAATATATAGAAATCTAAATTTGCGGAAAATTGTTCTTTATTCATATTCTTGAAGTTGCATTTTTTCGTTCATATATGTATGATAATGAAAAGAACATATTAATAACTAACCAGATGAGGAAGATATTAGTATCAGGAAAATTGTTACACTGCACATTCTAAATCTTGAAGTTGCATTTTTTCTTTTGCCTTAAATCATAAATACATTTTTCATTATAAAAGGAGAAGAAGAAGAAGAAGAAGAAGAAGAAGAAGAAGAAGAAGAAGAAGAAGAAGAAGAAGAAGAAGAAGAAGAAGAAGAAGAAGAAGAAGAAGAAGAAGAAGAAGTAGAAGTAGAAGTAGAAGTAGAAGTAGAAGAAGAAGAAGAAGAAGAAGAAAAAGAAAAAGAAAAAGAAAAAGAAAAAGAAAAAGAAGACGAAAAAGAAAAAGAAAAAGATAAAAAAGACGAAGAAGAAGAATGGCTACTGTAGAAAACTACCAGTTAAAAGCAGTAAAACAAGTGTTAGTTCTATCTATTTATCTACCTTTCTATGTATCTACCTATTTGTACTGTATCTATGCGTAGGTCGAAAGCTTACGCAACCGTACTCGTACTTTGTTACGCATTGCTGAAGCGGCGCCATTGTTCTACGCAAGCAAACCAAAGACTGTAGTTTACAAGACTGAAAAAGAATACTATTTCAGTTCGATGCCTGAAAATTAATAAAAGAGGTTGATGTGAATAGTGTACAGAATATTTTTCACTTACAATAGATTTACCGTACAGTGCCCTTAAGTGCATACATGTCTGTTTCAAGCAGTACATTAGTATTCGACTTTTATAATAGAATTTATTATTTATTTGGTGTACTGTCCCGCATTACTATGTATAGACTGTAGCTGTACTGTACACAACTTGATTTAGCTGCCTTAAATTGGTCCGGTACATCAAATGAACCAGAATTACAGCTGTTCTTCAGGTCAACTTGGTCCGGCTTAAATAATTTCAAGTAAATATAATTGTGAATAATTTATCTTTGATTTAAATGTTCTAATACAAGAACTTATATATTTCGAAGTTATCCATCAGAATGTTTTCTTTAAAAAAAAAAAACTTTCACACCTTTCAAATTTCTCCTCGATCATGTTTGACAGAAAATGTAGAACAATAAAGGGTCTTGTTCACACTATCTGGTAATCTGACAAGGGTTTTAGTCAAAGAGAATAGAATATATATTAGAAGGGAATTTACTAGAAAAAAGTGTAAAACGGCCATTTTGTTTTACTGTTTCCATACTGCAGGTGTATTTCACATATTTATGCTATATAACCTTTGGGCCCTGGAATATCATTTTATAGAAAATCTAAAATTAATACTAAAAGAAAACCAAATTATGAAATAGGCTGGTTTGATAATTGACCAATGATCATTTCACATAGACTCTATGCCTTCCACTTTACAAACGATGATTTTCCGTTATAACCATGAATTAAATGATGTTTTTATTCACCTAATTCATTATAAAGTTTATTTAACAGTTTAAAAAATTCGAAATTGAAATGGATAGTCTAGGGAACATACTGCATTAATGTACTCTACTGCATATAATTTGTGAACATTTACATGATTTATACACTTTGAACTCCCTTTCAGGCTGAAAGGGACTGAAAAAATTCATACCGAGAGATTCGCTAAATTCCCCTCTAATATATATTCTATTCTCTATGGTTTTAGTGTTAAAAGAAGAGATGAGGAAAGGTTGAGGAATCTTACAGTGGGACTCAGAAAACTGTGGAAAAGAACAACGACTATTAGATTAAATTTTAGTAGTTCGATGAACATGAAATACACAAACAGTACAAAAACAGTACAAAAACAGTACACAAACAGTAAACATACAATACACAAACAGTACACAAACAGAACACAAACAGTACACAAACAGTAAACATACAACACACAAACAGTACACAAACAGTACACAAACAGTACACATACAGTTCACAAACAGTACACAAACAGTACACAAACTGTCAAACATTACAAAAACAGTACACAAACAGTACACAAATAGTACACAAGCAGTATAAATATACAATACAATACAGAACACAAACAGTACACATACAGTTCTCAAACAGTACACAAACAGTACACAAACTGTACACAAACAGTACATATACAGTTCACAAACATTACACAAACAGTACACAAACTGTTCACAAACAGTAAACAAACAGTACACAAATAGTACACAAACATTACACAAACAGTACACAAACAGTTCACAAACAGTACATATATGATACATCACTTGATTTTCAAACTAAAACTGCCTCTTTACAAATACACACAAGATTGCTTTATTTCGTCTTCTTTTCCCCCACTCAAATGGGTACCCATTTATATTTATGCATCATTTAACTAAAAATGAAAACTCGAAATGTCTAATGTCTATATCCATGCAACCTGATGGTGTAAACCTTTCAAAGATAATTTTATCTAACAGAAGTAATAGTTTGAAATATCAAAGTGTTACGACATCTGGTTGCAATGATATAGAGATTAGAAAATTTGAATTTGTGACTATATAACTCAGATTTCGAACTAAATCAAAATAATTTTTATCTCCGTCTCGTCAATTTTTTAATTAACAAGACACTCGTCAGAAAGCTCATTGACCTTGTGCAAGCCTTGTTTACTGAAATAAAAAAAAATCTAATTTTTCTCTTAAATACTATTTTTATTAAGTTTTTGAAATAAATGAATAATAGCAGAAAGGCCCGGGCGTTGCCTTTTGAAAAGAAAGTTGAAAAAAATTGGGAAAAATAATTTTGAATATTTTTTAGCCAATACACCCGCCGACCACCCATGAGTGTCGACAAAAAAATTCAGCCCAATCGGTCCAGCCGTTTGGCCGCCTATATGCAACATTCATGTGTATATACGAATGTCTTGTGTATATAATAAAAGAAGACATTCGTATTTATATATAATAAGACGACAGTTTACATAGTTTTCACTAGGAGGGGAAATTAATTTATTTGGCGTACAGTCCCGTTTTGCCTCATAAAGTCTTATGTGTACTGTACTGCTTGCCCTGGCTAATTGAAATTCGGCCCGGTACATGAGATGAACTGAAATGTACCGTGTGTTAGACTTAAATAAGGATTTTAAATAGTTTAATAAACATGGTACACAAAAGTGGTGAAATTTACGCCGTCACGCTTTACTTAATAAGTTGATTTACTAGGTAATAAATATGATACAACTATTTTCTTTATAACATCAAATAAAATACAAATAAGATTGATTAAATAATGGCGTCATTCTTATCTACAGTTGTCTAATATTTGTTTTCTATTTTTTCAAATTGTTCTTAATAAAAGTTGAATGAATGTTTATTTTGATCTCAATATTATATCTTAGTAAATCTTTCACGGCCAATCCGTCTTATATCTAGATTATTAATCTGATAGATACATGTTTATATCTGTATCTATCTGCCTATATTCTTTTCCAGAAATCTAGACTATCCAGGAACTGCTCTGATTTGTAGCATCCCGTCTTTTCCAGAAATCTTTCTATCCAAGAACTGATCTGCTCTGCATCATCCTGACTTTTCCAGGAGCTGCTCTGCTCTGCAGCATCCCGTCTTTTCCAGGTATCTTTCTATCCAAGAACTGCTCTGCTCTGCATAATCTTATCTTTTCCAGGAGCTGCACTGCTCTGCAGCATCCCGTCTTTTCAAGGAATCTATTCTATCCATGGAAACTGCTCTGCTCCATGCAGTATCCCATCTTTTCAGGAATATATTCCATCTAGGAACTGCTCTGCTCTGCAGCATCCCGTCTATTACAGGAATATATTCCATCTAGGAACTGCTTTGCTCTGCAGCATCGTTTGTTTTCTAGAAATATATTCCACTCACGAACTGCTGCTCAGCTCTGCAGAACCCTGCAGAAATAAAATCAACGCTCTCATCTCAAAACTCCAGTAACGTAGAATTTTTTCCAGTACTCAAAACATACACTGGCTGTTTTACACATTTGAGAATCTAAATAATCATCGATTCTACTGCTGCTTCGGACTTAAATCAATGTTTTTTAGTCTCCAATTTACATCCCAACGGAGAGCCATCTTTCTTCAATCATATGCTGTCTTATTATGATTCCCGGATTTTCTAATTTGTACTCGGGGATTATTAATATTTTGGATTGTTCAGAACAATTTCTTGAATATATTCGATATTGATGTTCACATCTATCAATATATTGAAAAAAGTTGGATTTATCTTTAATATAGTTGTATGTGTCCATCGAATATTTTCAATTTTACTAAATAGAAACTATCAATATATTTCGTCCATTGGATGGTTGTGTCCAACCTACAAACTTTTTATCTTATATCTGTATATGTATCTATCTATCTATCTATCTATCTATCTATCTATCTATCTATCTATCTATCTATCTATCTATCTATCTATCTATCTATCTATCTATCTATCTATCTATATATAAATATATATATCTATCTATCTATCTATCTTCTATCTATCATCTACCTATATATCTATCTATCTATCTTTCAATTTATCTATCTATCTATTTTTTCCATCTACCTATATCATAAAGCAAGACATTCGTATATATATATATATGTTGCCTATAGCCGGCCAAACGCATGAACCGATTGGGCTGACATTTTTTATTAGCACTCATGGGTGGCCAGTGGGTAATATAGGCTAAAAAATTCGATTTTTTTTT